AATCAAACCGGGTCATTGAAATTTAATTAGGTCATTGAAGTTACTTGTTTGGATGCAAATATTTTTTGTAAATTTTGAGTTTTTAGAAAAAAAATATTAATTGATGCTAGCTCGTTAAACAGGGCATTTGTACACAGTATTTGTCGCATAAAGTGGTTTTTTTTTCAAATTGCGCACATTATAGTCATGTGAAAATAGTATTTAAGCAATGCATTGTTTGAATTTTTTTTAACATGCAAAGTAAAATTCTTCAAACATTCATGTTCATCTTTCTTATTAAACATGTTAAAGGAAAAATTTTTATGTCATGTTGGATGTTAAAAAAATTGTAATTGAGGATAATGCAAAAAGAATATATTGAATTCAGTTTGTTACTTGACCAAATGCAAAACAATTGTGTGTGAAAATTTTGAAAGTGCTTTCAAGGTTTAGCAGGTTTTTTTTTGTATTGATGAATTACATTTAACATTTTTGTTAACATTTAAAGAGAGCTTTTTTTGAGTTGCTCTTTTCAATTAGAACAACATATCGTACGTGTTCTTACAACTTTACCTCAGACAATACTTAACATTACACTGTACATGTACTGTAAAATCACATGGTTTTTTGGGGTCAAATATTTGTGGCTGGAGGAAAAAATATGGGTTCATGGGGATTTAATTTCTTGTATGAAGAATTGTTCAGTGCTAATATCCATGAAAAATATATTTCATGGTAGACATAAATTCATGGGTCTCTTCATTCCTCTAAAACCACGAAAAGTAAACCCCCATAAAAATTAATGATTTTACAGTATGTCAAACTTGCAGTAGATTTCTATCTTCCTGAAACTTATTTTGACAGTAGACAAGTAAATTTTTACATGATGTTTATAGTTGTGTATATGTATAAGGTAATTTGAAAACTGTCTGCATTTGATTTAATTGAAAACAAAAATGGTGCTGCATTGGCCTAAATCAGTTATTTATGTGCTAAAGTGATGAGTTTGTCTGCTATTATACAGTACTCCTGTCTTTTAAGGATTTAAGGGTGTTTGGACTGTATTGTAAGTTACATAGTTTAAAGTGTATGCTAGCTTTACTGACATGTTTACATATTTTAATATAAACATCACTGCATTCCTCTCATGCATTGTTGGTGACTTGCATTGGAATTTTTGAATGAATTCAGTTCCCTTTTTTTTATGTAGATTGAATTTAAAATTCTATGAAATAAGTGTTCAAAAATAAAATCCAATGCATATATTATTATCTGTGCATGAAGAAGTTGTGAATAAATGAATTGAATTCTAGTTTATAAAAAAAACTTTATTATTGTGAGATTTGAAATTATGCTGTAAAATTGTAGACTTAAAAGTCACGGAGGAATTTTTATGACCCCAGACATTTTTTTTCACTTTAAATACAATGCTGTTTTTAGGTATATGATGCCAAGTTAAAATTTGTCGAAGAAAGAAATTACATGCATTGTAGATATTCATAGAAATTTAAAGGTAACTCTCTCCCTTAGCATCAATTTTGTTCATGCAGACAGAGGATTCTTTTAACATGCTTGCGTGCAGACATAAGCTTTGGCTGAATATCTTTAAGGTGGCTGAATATCTTTAAGGTGGCTGACTGATATTTATGCAATCCTGTCTCCACATCTAGCATAACAGTGGGCAGATTTTTGTAATGTTGGACGTTGTGTCAACGGACACTATATTGTTAATATCATTACTTCCCTTTGTTAATCATGGTTACCAATGACTTGTTGTCAACTTTGAACTTTTTCTGTTGAGTTTGATAGATTTTTAAGAGATGTGGCAGTTGATTTATACTTATATTTTTTCATGATTTCAAATTTTTATGAATAAAAAAAAATGTGTGCTATTTGAATTACTTGTAGAAATGACATTTTATAAACTTTAAATTCATTTTTTGTAGCAATTTTTTTCTAGATCCTCAATTTATAACTTGAAGATTGTTCTTATTGTGAAGACATAATGACATGCATATGTTCACTGTTCCATCTTATTATGTACAGAAATAGCACAAATAAATCTGATCTTTTTAAAACTGATGCACTTTTTTTTCCTTAAGTTGTTATTTGTTGTTTTAGAAAGAAAAAAAATGTTCGTCATTTAGTAGTGATACTAAATTGTACCTTCTGTTCTACATGCATTTATTTAGAAACAGATCACAAGTGGTTGAATGCTGTGACAGTGGTGCCTTGATTTGTGGGTCTCATCCAAAGGACCCACAAGAACAAAGTACAGTTTTGGCCAAAAATGCCGCTTTTCATATCTACTCCGTTCAAACATTTACAAAGGCTAGGATTTTTGAATTAAATGATATACAATTTATATACATAACTCAAATCTATGCTTTTAAAAAATAACGCCAAATACTGTACCTTTCATAGCAGAACATCGAGATTTTACGAAAAAATCAGACTTTAACATGCTATGCATCATCTGAAATTCCAAACGTACACTCTGAAATATTTGTCAATGTAAAGAAGTTTCTATTTTTAATATTTTATTATTATTATTTCATCTATTTATTTATTTTTTCTTGAATATGGACATTTTGGTTATTACTTGTTTATGAATAAAATAATATCTTGGAATTACGTCGATCTGCCTTGAAAAGAAAGGCGACGTCTTTGAATGCCATGAGCACTTTTCAACTGCATCAGCATTGTTTGACTTGACCTTTGCATTTCCTTTTACCTTGACCTCACTTTAAAGAAATTGGTGTCAAACTTTATATGCTAATACATATTCAACTGCATCACTATTCAAGATATTCTGATAATTTTTTTCTAGTTCCTCTTAAATATAAATACATATAGACAGGAAAACATTCCCAAAAGGTTTGTACAGAATTAAATTCATATATTCACCATTCCACCACAGAATAAGAAAAATGTTTAAACAATTCAACGTATCCGATCCATATATATTATAATAGCCTATATTATAATAGCTGGAGATTCAAAGAATTTGAATGCATAACAGATATACATTGGCTGAATACTCTGTAGTATGTAGATATAATCTTCATGTTTTAGTCTCAATATGTCATAGAAGAAGGTGTCCTTTTTTTCCCCTTGACCTGTCCTTGAAGAGTTATCCCCCTTTGCTTTTAATCAACAAAATTTATTTATTGTTTTAAATCTATCTGGTGAAAAAAGATTTTTTAATCGTTTACTATTCTTATTTTACCTTTGCATGAAATACTATTCATAAGGCAATACTTCGTAAGATGTAATACATGAGGAAAACAATAATTTGAAAATAAAAACAAATACACAAGAACATTAAGATAAAATTTATTTTGATGACATTCAAATCTTTCTGTTCTCATTGTGATGGTAATAAAAAGTTAATTTTTTTATCCATATGAAATAGTGTCATAATGATTCAGTATAAAAGGTTTTCTTCAGGAGTCTTAAATGATAAAATGGAACAACCACACACACACACACACACACAAAAAAATAGTTTGTCAACGTTTAAACAAGCGGCGTAATCTGCTCAGAAATCCAGTTTTCTCCTTCTTTTTTTTCTTCTAAAAATGAAAGGTGTACAAAGTCAAATGTATTTAAAAATCCTGCATTACATACAAAATCAAGTTTGTTAAAATCAGAATTCTCAAAGGAAAAAAAAACTGAAATTGAAATGAAAAGGAGTGGATATTTACCTGTTTTTTCTGTGCTTTGCCACAACACAAAAATCTTCTCCAGCCTGTCGGCACGGGATCGGCCTCCTACAAGCCAAAATTGATTCACATTACTACAAATGTTGTGGGGGGGGGGGGTCATTTTACTGTTAAAAACCATCAATTAATATGTCAAATACGCACCATTTCATTGCTGGTACATGTATCTGGATCTGGGAAAGCTACAGTGCTATAAATAAAAAATTAAAAAATCACATAAATATATTTTTGTTTGGATTTCCTTCTACAATTATTAAATTACTAAATATTATGTATATCATTTCACCTGATATGTGTTCTATACAAGTTGCAGTAGCAGCCAGATAGGAGACATACGAAGGAAATGACAATAATTTAAAAATTGTCTATTGTTTTTCAATTATTTTTTTCAAGCCTGGCAGTAACAAGAAACACATACATACCCAGGAATATCACTGTCAGGTGAAGCTCGGATCATAGGAACATGAACAATTTTCTCTGGAGCATTGTACATTGCCTGTCAACGAAAAAAGAATACATGTAACGTGGTTGGGACAATTAACTTACTTCAGCATATCTCTGATATTCGAGATATGGGTGATTCGAGATAACACAATTCGAGATAATGGATTCCAACTGTATAAGTTATAGATACATAGATTACGTAAATTACATTAAGTATATATTTTAGAAATTTACGTACATATTAAATGATAAGAATAGAATAAATTATATTTTAGAAGAATACATGCCGGCCTACCAAGAACTTTTATACCTTTAGAGTTATTTTCCTGTGGTCTTCAAGAGGCCTCTGTGTCCCAATGCTCGCTACTTCAGCACATTTTGCAGGTCTGTTTGAAAGGCTGAGGGAATAGTGAACGATTTCAGAGCCAATCATGACCTTGACCTACAGAAAGTTCAAACAAAACATCATTATTAGAGAAAACAATAGTCAGAGATGGTACGACGAGTATATAAAATATAATATGAAATATATTATGTATTTGAAATAAATATCTCTCTTCAGTAGATACCTTCTTTTGTATTTTCAATTTCTGTGTGTTGTAATTTGCAAATCTGACCGGGGGAATAACAGACTGTCCCTTGCCTTGGCTAAACATGCTAAAAGCAAAAAAAAATATTTCAACATTCTTTGAAAATAATGCATCATAACAATATTTGATATTAACAATGTTTTCCATCTATACATATTATATGCTCTTGAAATGTTCGAATGGTATACTGTTGGCTTAGAATGGCAAAAGAGAGATCATTTGATTCAAAGAATGTAACATGTTAAATTACAAATCATTTACCTTGAGGTAGCCTGTCTGGTCGCCAGAATGATCAAATCTCGTACGGTTTCCCGTGCAACTCTGCGGAATATCTGTTGATTAATAATAAATTACAATTAATTCAATTGTGCTCCTCCGAACTCAAAGATTTTAAGGAGTGAATTGTGCTTTTTCCTTAAAGAAATTATTAAAGCAATGGTAAAGGAATTGCATGCTTACAAATGTAAACCACTATTTGTTAAACTTTAAAATTCACATATTTACAGAAAGGATTTAACACCAGGCTGAAGCTAGCAGCCAATAACAGCAGCCACTAAGCGCGTAGAAGCTAGCAGCCAATAAGGAAATTCATCAAAGAACTGAGAGTACTCAGACGCAATGCTGGTTTTATACTTTATTTTAGATAATAAAGAGTTAATGATTGGATAATTAATGCGAAAATTAATTACATATTAAATTAGACACTCTTGGGCAGTAAGGCTCACCTGAAGAAAAATATTCTTTTTTGAAAATGAAAAAAATAGAAATAAATTACACAATAATCTTAGTCCATTTGATCAAACAAGCACTGAGGAATGGTTAACTACTTCAAGAAGAATACTTTTTCAACTCTTTCAGGGACATCAAGAATATGACAGGGCCAATAAGCTAACCTGAAAATTGGTTAC